TAACTCATTGTCCACATCGACCATGTTTCACTGCATATCTTTTGTGTGGCAAACAATGTATAAAAATTTATTTTCTTTAAGTAAAATTCAGATAAAATTAATTTTTGTAAATATAATTATTACATAAAATGTTTTTTTTTTCAGTGATTAGTGGTAAACATGAGGTGTTATTGTGTTTGCTATTAACTGATAAAATAATTGCTATACTCTAGTTAATTTTTGGGCTTTTATTTTTGGATATTTCCAAATAAAATTAGTTATTAAAAATATCGGGAATTAAATTGTATTTGGTTTAGGGTTTAGAATAAGTTCAAAATATATCAATTTTATTTTCCAAATTTTCCCAATTTTGGCATATTTTTGAAAAACTAGCAAAAATGCACTTTTTTCGAGAAAAAACTCTAAAAAATATGAATTTTCAATCAAAAGTGTCGATTAATTTGTTAATTGAATGCCAAAAATTGTCATAGAGTTCACATAATCTGTGATCTATTGTAAGATTCTTACTTTACATTATTATAATATTAAGAGTAAACTAACGCACACTGAATAATTTTGGTTGAATATTATGTGACATAATGTCAATCTTACATAACTTATGTCAATCTACAATACAGTAAACTTACTAGATACTACTATACATGTATTTTACTGTTGTATTTCATGTATTATAGCCATGTCAGTTACGATAATTTATATTTCCATACAAATAGCAGATCCATAGACTTAACATTACCTATACAATAATGTTAGTCGCATGATAAAATATACTATGAGCACAGAATTATTCACAAATTAAACATGTACGTTTGACCGCCTAGAAATTCAATTGTATAATTCAAAATTCACTGTAAAACAAATTACTTTATTTATATGTCGATTCTTGATTTTCAAATACAGGTAGAAGTTGTCAATACAAATATTAGGTTTTTGTGTTTAGGATTTAAAGTGCATTTAAGTCTAATTTTACAAAACAATCCTTAAAATGCACTTTTCACGAGAATTTCTAAAAATTGTGCAATAATTTATGACAAATAAGTGTTTTTTATTAAAATATTTAATTAAATAGACATTAGAATTATAATTCAATAATATTCTACTGAATGGACTCGATGTGACAGAAATGGTTATATTTTTTAGAAAAAGAAATATTTTATAAAATTAAAATAATATACAGTATAATTAAATCTAAAATATTACTTTCTTGTTTCGTAACATTTTGATTTACTAAATACAGTACTAAAATTGACTAATGTTCATTTTGAGTGGGAATCATATGAAATTTAACTTTTAAAACTACTGTATTTCTAAAGCCGATTATTATACAGGAAATTAAAATAATCTATTGACTCACTTTATATTCTGTCGATTTTGATATATAAAATATAGAATTTGACGTCAGCCTAATTTAATTAAAAGTAAAGGGATTATTAACTATGAATTAGACATAAAAATGGTAAACAATTTATAAGAAAATTTTTATTCAAAAATAAATCATTGTATGGATTAAGTGCACAATATTTGTTCAAATATTAAGTAATACATAAATATATAAATATTTTATTAAAACATCAAAAATAGAAATCTTGTGCGAAAAGAGTATAACTTTTATTAACAAAAATATGTGTTTGAAGTGATAATAAGAAGGAATAACGATATGATATATGGATAATAAAATAGAAATTTTCTTCAATGAAATTCATGATATTTTTATTACAAACACTTTTAACACTAATTGTGTTGTGAATTAATCGCTTGAATTGATATTAAGGCACTTGATTTGAAACACAGCTCTAGTGATTGGTTTAGACTAGACTTATGTTCTCTGACTCTAAACGCAAAGTCATTGACAATTATTGTTAACAAATGAGACCATATTTTAAGGCAATTGACGTTCACATGATTTTACATTCAAAATAAATACTATTTGTTTAAAAGAATTAAAAATGTATAATGAAATTAAAATTTAGATAAATTTGTAATAAATATGTTTTGATAAGAAAATAATGAATTAAAAAATCAGATTAAATCAAATGAGTCGAGAATTAGCTAAATATTGTGCCAACACTTTGCATACGAAACGAAATTGAAGGGAGTGTTGGACACTAAGCATACGTTGGAATCGCAATTGTGTCAGTGCTTTCGGAACGTCTAATATCTCAGTACTGTTAAAGTCTAGGAATTTCAAGAGAGAATCACAGAGTATGACAACACCACTCCGTCCCACACCTGCGCTGCAATGCACTACAATCGGGGCAATCGTTTGGTTCCTCTTTCGGCCCAAACCACTGCCTTCTCGTGAGAATCGGCGGTGAATTGCGTCCATTTCGGAGAGAAAGGCCAGAAAGCCGTGCACGTCGTCCGGACACGAGTGATCATTCCATTCCGTGAACCGCAGATGCGTTACGTTTCGCTTCTGACCATTCATTGTAATCGTTAGCAAACTTGTTATGAATGTCATTGACATCGATGTTGAGTGACACACAACCTGATCATCGAAGAGACAATTCACAACATTTAGTCAATTTAAACATAAACTAACCATCATAAATATAACATTTAAATTGTGATCATTTATGTTTATTATATATGATATAAGGTATAAGTAAAGCTTCCATTTTTCGGGAGTAAAAACATCCAAATTCGGGAATAAAAAAGTCAAAGTCGGGAAAATTCTGGAATTATGTTTTTATTCAATTATATTCAATAATCTAGAAATTAATTATATTTGATAATGACAAAATTTTGAGATGTTCTTCAGTTAATGAATGCCTTTTATCTGTAAGAATAATTTTAAATTGAGAGAAAAAACGCTAGACTTCGATGGAGAGAATCAATGCATATTTTGTAAGACATCTCATCTCAATATCTTGTGGATTACAAAACTCGATTTGATATTCAGTTTAGAACTTTATTAAGAGTTTTGATGAAACAGCTATAAAATAAATAATTTTTTCCAAAAAATTTCAAATATCGGGAATATTTATCATAAAAATAAATTTTTCGGGAATTTTCCAAAAATAATCCAAAATCGGGGAAAATAACATACGGGTATATATTTTTGGTCTATTATAACCCCTAAACATAATGGTATATAATTCCCGATGGTTTGGTTAACTTTTTTATTCGGAAATTTCCGAAGATTTGAAGCTTTAGTTATAAGTTATTGAATTGGTTACAAACAACTCTTCAATGTTTACAGATTTTGCTAAACACTGTATAAGTCTGTTATAATGTAGTAATAATAAGTTGTATACTGTATAAAACGAGTTTCTATTGCTAATTGCTGTACAGCATATTGTAAGAACGTGTAACTGAATAGTTATGTAAATAAAATGATTGTTATAATAGTTGCTAACCTCATAGTCGCCAAATCTGAGCACATTATTCGGTGGTTCGTGGGTTTGCGGGAAGTATTCAAAACATTTTTGCTGATTTAGTTCATATAAATTGGTGACCATTACTATAAGGTTTACAGAATATTCATAAATCATTTGCCAGAAGTCGACTGCAGTGGAAGCCAATGGGCCCTGACTTGCGATGTAATGGTTTCGAGTATTTCCCAAATGCATGACAACATGAGAAGCGTTTATATAACCGCTCTTATTGTCTTTGGTTGGCGTTAATTTGACTCTATTATGATGTATACCAATGATGTTATATCATAATGGAAATTGAAATATATTTGCTAAATGTATTACCTGTTGTCTTCATAGGGAAGAATATCCCTAAACCTATTGCGATATATGTTGTCAGGAGTGAGAGCAGTGGTGAACTTAGCCGTTGGGTTCATTCGCGGCAATAAATCAAATTCACGAATGAATTCTGGATCATTAACCGTCTCTTCTAAAGCAAAAACTCTTCGATCTTTATTGGAATCATTGGTCGAATGGATTGAGTCGTTGTTATCCTTCTTCTTAACCAAATAGGAGCCGATTGTTGACATGATTTCACTGTTATTGGAATTCCTATTTTCTATCGTATTTTGAGAACTATTGGCTGAATTATGTTGTGTTGAAACTCTTGTAATCACTTCTGTCGGTTTCACACAATTATTATGAGTAGTGATGAGTGAATGTTGTTGTCTTTGAGACAAATTATAAACATTTTGCAAATTAGATGATTGTCTTAAGTGTACATTAGGTAAACCATTGGAAACACTGGAAGCATGTAAACCCTGTGATTGTAACAATTGGTCAACCGATGAGTTCAAGTGAGGAATGGGATTAACACTCGTCGAGAATGCAGTCATTAAAGGAATGTTTGCGATATTAGGTTCGGAACCACTGGTGGCTTCACGTCGGGGACGGTTGTCGTGATTGTTAGGGACGGTAACAATGGGTTCAATTATATTTTGGATCAGTTGTGAGGCAACCAATGGCTGTACACTTAGATCGGGAACACTGTTGAAGGCATAAGGGGGCGGAAGTTTTTGATTGTTTATTAAATACAACAAATGATGATTGTGTTGCACTGACTTTTCTCTCAATATATTCTCATTGCTATGTAATATATTTAGTGAATTGAGTTCAGGAGTACTACAGGTTATCACACCCGACGACAACTGATGGAATCTTAAGGGCGATGCGATCATTGGCTGTTCTGATTGCAGCCAATTCTGTGTGACCGGAAGTGATGATCGGACGGCACACTTGTTATTGAGACCGTTGGAGAGTTGATCCAACTCTAGGTTAGACAAATCACTGTAATTCTTATACTGCGGATACGGCGGCTGTGGACACAAGTGGCGCACAGAAGAGGCCGAAGTGGACGCCGAAGACATGAGAAAACCATTTGAGCCATAATTGGTCATCGGATGACTAGAGCGCGAGCCTATATTGCCTGCACTTACGCCTAGATTTGAATACTTTTGGCTCATAAATGTCTGATAGTCTGGTGGAGGCATATATGGAGGCAGTAATTGTTTGCGCTGTTCGTATGTTAGATCTGATGGTTCGCATTGTTGTCTGTGATGGTCAGACCAGGACGGCTGGTGATGCACCTGAACTCGCGTTATATTCGATACATTGGACACCGATGTGTGAATGTCTGTCGACTCTTGTACTGACAGTTCATTCTTGTCTGGAAATGTAACGTGAATTTGGTGTAAATCTGTAGAATCGGCTGAAGTGCGGACACCGAATATATTGGTCTCAGAATTGGTGTGCAATTGGGTTGATATCATGTCTGAAGTGAGGTCTCTATTACTATAATTACCGCCACTGTATTGACTGTTGCGCTCCAATATATCGGCGCTTGTATTCAAATTGTTGACACTTTCATTGCTATATTGGTTCTGCTCTCCAATCTGTATACTGTGTGGTAAAGCGCTGGCGCTTAATATCTGGTTATGCATTATCTCTGTACTGCCACTCATATGGTTGGAGTTGTTATGCTTTTGGTCCAAACTAATGGTACCGTTTGTGTTACTGTTGGCATTGGACACAACCTCTTGTCTGCTTTGGTCTGATTGTTGCGATTCTGTGTCCACACTATTCCTCAAACCTTTCATGAAGTACTGGTGCTGTTCAACACATGTCCTCCAAACACAACTCGCATAATCGCTGTCAAAAGTGGAGTAGTTTTTGCGGAGACCGTCAGGATTTCGTTCAATTGTAAACACCTTTAAATCAATTCATAGCAAATACTTTCTCATCAAATATATGTTCAATTAGTTTACAACTCTTTTCATTCAAATAACTAATTGTATTGTTTGCTAAGAAGCGAATGGCGAGCACTACTATAAACTTATTTTCATTGATTTTATAATCAAATTATAGCGCATATATAATACATGGATAACAAACAGTACAGTATATAGAGTACAAGAATATACAGTATATAAAAACAAAACTTCTTACCTTTTTTTGATGGACAAGATTTTTGATGGAATTCCAGTCAAACATTTCTTTGGAACCATTGGTGTCGACAACGAAAATGCCTCTCAGAGTGACTCCAAGACAGACATCAGCGCCAGAATCGTTGACAGGAAAGCCTTCGAGTCCTATCCCATTGAGTTGTTGTGCCTCATGAATGTAGTAGATTTCGGCCGCATTTGGCGGAACGCCCTGAAGTTTGCGGTACTTTGAGTTTCAAATCAATAATCAAAATAAGTTAATCATTTCGAAACATTGTGAACATTCATCGATGCAATCATTACCGCGTTTATAACACTCTCGAGCTGTAAATCCTGTGCCACTCTATTGTTGGTAACCATAGATCGAGGGAAAAGACCAAACGTTTTGAGATACTGGACGTCATGTCTTTCGGGGTTAAAATCGCCGAACTCTGCCTGAAGACTAAAACTGGCTAAAAGTATGGCTTCCTCTCGATCGCAGTGGAGTCGGCCCTCAATCACCAGTTGTTTCAATGAATAGAAATAGTGATATCGGGACACCTCGTCGGGCAGGAAGTGCACATTGGGTACAAAGTATTGTAAGCGTAGGTATAGACGCGATTCCTGTGAATATTTGTCTAACTGTTTCTTCAGTGGTTTCACCAGATCTACCCATTGATGAAAACCGCGCTTTGATTTAAATAGGAGTCCAAACAAGTGCTCCGATTGGATGTTAAGTCTTTGGCAAACATTTGACAGACATTCGCGACCAATGCTTGTCGAGAAGAGAGTGCATTCAATGGATTCAGTGGTGACAATCTCGATGGCTATCACATACAAGTCTTTGTTGGACACATTGTACTGTTGAGATCTCTTCCCTAATCGCAACCTAAACGGCATTTTTGCGCTCAAAAGCTCTTCATTTCAAAACTCCTCACAACTCTCTCTCACTCTTCCTCTCTATCTGTCTATCATTTGTTTGCTTAGAGTTTGTCCACAAATCAAACACCAATTAATAGCCCATTATTTGTCTGTATATGTTGTGCACCCGATATGAATGCATAACACAAATGCAAATAAACAAAACATTAAATCAAAAATAATTTTATATGTATTTACGAAAAAATATTTTTGTAAACATTTGATGCGAGCTTTGAATCAAAATAACTCAATGAATGCAATGACTGAATACTGAATGCATAGCTTTTTTCACAGCAATCATAGGATGTGTTGGCTTTCAAACCAAACATTACTTCACTCTTAACTCAACTATACATTCAAATTATGAGTAAAAATTAATCAATTATTTGTCCATAAATTCAATCATTGGATATGATTTAGGCATTTGAGAGCATAATTAGTGACATAAGACACGAATGAGACATTTGGTGGTGAATTGCTGGACAATAATTGTCATCAATTGGATCCCTGTATTCAAGTCTATGAGAAATGAATGTCTATTGGGTTTGCAGTGAGAGAGCAGTGAAAAACTCATTTCCCATCAATACATACATTACTCTAACTGTCCATCAATTGATTGATTCAATACTTATTAAACATATTAATTATGGCATAACTCTTGAGTGATATGAGACATGTTCAGACATTTAGGACCTATTTTGGTGATAATCTTTGGCAAAAATGACCAAATAATACATTTAATAGCATTTGTAGAAAAGTCAATGCATTTGCAATGTATGTCAAAAATGGCCGCAAAACGAGTGTTTGTGCTCTTCTATTGTCACTAAAAGTTAATTTACTCCACAATTAAGACACACATCAAAGCCATTCACTCATAGATCGTAAGCCCAGACATCGTATGACATAAATAACAAACACTTACCACTAATTCAGTTGAATTAATGCCCGATTTTGACGAGACTTCGGCAATGAGATGACAAACAAGTGGTTAGGAATGAGATTAAAACCGATTTAATATCACTTAATCACTAATAATTGCACTCTTTTTGGTATCAAACTGAAGAGCGATTGTCTGTCGACCTGATAGAGGCATCGGTGGCGCGGATCAGTTGGAGTGATGTCTTGAATGGTGTGCTTAACTGTTGGACGAAAACACAAATCGGAGAGAAGTGTTAAACAAATCGAGAGTTTGAGTTGTGTTTTGAGCTCTGAGTTCACGTAGAGTTCGCGTCAACACTATATATACAGTGACTGCAACTCTCCTCTCCCTTACAGTCAAACCAACTCTGCTTTCAATCACACGATTCACACGACTCTCAAACAACTCAACACAACTTCCATACAAATCCCGATTGAAATCCAGTTGTCATTCAATCCATTGAATCCATTGCTTTCGTTGAACACAAACTCAAGCGAAGCCAAGAATGAGTGAAACACAGACAGCGGCCACACCTGCGAAGGCTGAGGCCAAGACCGCCGCCAAGAAGAAGACGACCAAAGCCTCGTCGGCCAAGAAGGCGAAGGCGCCCTCAAACCACCCCAAGTATGTCGATATGGCTATCAGTGCTATCAAAGCACTCAAAGAGCGCAACGGATCCTCCAGACAAGCCGTCCACAAGTGAGCACTCATTGCATTCATTCATTTCATCTCTCATTAACTCTTTCGTCACTTAATTGAATGTTTCAAAACTTTTTTTGTTTGTTTTGATATTTTTTTGTTGAAGTTTTTGTCGCTATAATACGATTGCGTTTGAATTGCAGGTATATTTTGGGACACTTTAATGTGGGAACTGATGTGAAAGCCGTGAACTCTCACCTGAAGCAGGCGTTGAAGAGAGGAGTGGCCGGCGGTCAGCTGAAGCACGTGAAGGGTCAGGGGGCCAGCGGTTCCTTCAAACTGGCCGACAGCGCGGCCGCAGCCAAGAAACCCGTCGCTAAGAAAGCAAAGGCAGCGCCAAAACCAAAGGGAGAGAAGAAAGCAAAGAAGGCTAACCCCTCACCCAAGAAGAAGGCTTCGCCTAAGAAAGCGGCCAAACCTAAGAAGGCGGCCGCCAAGAAGGCAGCGGCTCCGGCAGCCGCTGTGGCCGCAGCCCCGGCCGCCGCACCCGCGAAGGCGGCGCCCACTCCTAAGAAGGAGAAGAAGGCTAAGAAACAAAAGACTCCATCGAAGCCCAAACCGAAGGCCGCGAAGAAGTCTCCGGCGAAGAAGAAGGCGTCGACACCTAAGAAGAAGGCGGCGCCCAAGAAGAAGGCCAAGTAAAGCAATGCCACACATTCTCAGCGCTTGTTATCGTTTGTCTCCTCCGCCACTGATTCCCAAAATTGATGCATTGATTCATCCATTCATTGATCCATTCATTCATACATTGATTCATCCATACATTGAAACATCCATTGATTCATTGGTCATTCACTCATCCATTCATCTCGTCATCACATCATCACAACCTTACCATCACTTCATCCATATATTCATTGATATGTTCGACCGGTTGTCACAATATATATAAATATATATAAACATACGTTTGGATTCTCATTAAACATTCATTTCTCTTAATTATAATTTATGTTTAATTAAGAATAAAATTCATTATTTAATGTAAATTTGGATTTATTTTCAAACAAAACAAGAATTTAATTATAAAAGAATTTTAGATTTCAAAACGAGGTTAAAGTCTATGAAAAAGTTTGTATTATAACTCATACTCTGTTGTATTGAAACAATATTTAGATTCAAACCAATACTTAGTTCACTAATTGTCTTAATTTATCAATCAATACATTGAATAATAAAAACACACTTTTGATGAAAAATTGATTTTAATTCTCAAAACTCAGATCAAATTGACATGATTTTAGGCAATCATTTGAATTAATTATTAATATTTAATTTGTTTTATAAAATTAAATATAATTTGATTTCATAAGAGTAATGCAAATCAATAATAAATTGTTGATTGATATGAAGTATTGACTCAAGTATTTGAATTTGATATTCAAATAATAAATGCATTTATTTTGTAATATACCGTAAGATGTGATGAAAATACTGCATTAGATGGTTATGAACAGTACTGAATAGTGAAATGATGGTAGAATTAGTCTAAAACGATGTCTAATATATTGTCATATTATTATATAACTGTCCATTTATTCGTTAATAATTATCATATATTCGTTAAATCACTTGAAAATAAGTCAACTTAAAAATTATCGCATTTATTTGGTTAAGTTATCCTAAGTTCCCATTTATTTACAATTAATTCATAAATGTCTTTAAAACTATTAATTAGATCTCAATCTCTATAACGTAATAGTGATTCAAATCACTCAACAAACTATAAACAGAGTTAGAGTTAGACGACTGACTGAATGCATATTCAAGTGCTTTGTAGTTGTGGTTAACGTCAGCTCTGTTTAGCGACTTCTGTCATCTGTTGATTACAATTATTGTAATTATAATTATTAATCGAACCGTTCTTATGGTTAGGTTCGGCGCTGTCGATGAACGGCACGTCCAACTCATCCAACGAGTCCTTCGATGTCTTAGTCGAGCAAAAGGGCGGAATATAAGTGATTCCCTCCTCTTTCAGCACATTTATGTAGTGCTCAATAATCTCTTTGCCTTTCTTTATATTCTGTGAATAGTGTTTAACCGCCAACTTCTCCACCACTCCTTCAAAGCCCCAGAAGTGACTCACTTCCAGACTCGCCGACTGTTCAAAGCACGTCCACTCCGGGTTCTCCGGGTATACCTGTACTCATCAAAACATCACATCAATTAGTGTTCATTCATCTGACACAACACAACATGATCACAATGGTTACAACTATTAGCTATTTGAGTCCATTTATATGTTCTTTTCCATACATTTATGGACAAATAGGTCTACAATAGAGGGATCAAATGAGCAGCTAATCTCTTAATTGTCCATGTTTAAAAATATGCACAAATAATTTTAACATAAAATTTATAATGGTACAATTCACAACAATATTTAAACTAAATTTTTGTTAATTTTTAAATTAAAAAAAATTCTGTTAAAATTAATTTAAATCAATAATTATTCATTGAAGTGGTTCTTATTTATTGTAACAATTATTAATTGAAATATTTTATTAACATTAGGGGTTAACAAAGATTTTATCTGGAAATAAATAAAACCTATTTCAATAAAATTAAACTAAAAACATTGTCACTATATTTGCGCTCATCATTTAATTGTTTTTGCAAAACAATTATTGTATTTATTATTAATTATTTTTAAGAAAACTATGTTTACTGCTTAGATATAGAAGGGTTGACCAGAAGGGAGACTAAACATTGCGATAATTTCACTATTAATATATTACACGTGCCTTATATAGCCTTCTGTGCTATAAATTATGCTTTTATATTGAAAATTGAAATAAACTATAAAATGCGATCGAGTTTTGGATAACACAAAAATATGAAGTTTATTTAATGGTTTCTATAACTTCATATCGGTTTACATACTGTTCATCACAGAGAAAGTAATATAGATTAATGCAAGTAAATATTTATTATAAAGGCTGTAATTCAACATTCAGTAGATGTAATGATACTTTTAAGATGAGCTAGCTGACAATCGCAACATATGTTTGACAACATTCTCAATTGAAAATTATTTTCCATAATTTATATTAATTTATTTGGGAAATGCATAACAAACTATAAACACGTCTTCAATTTATGTGTTATTTTTTTCAAAATTATGTATTTTAAAAATAATTTCGTTTAATTAATGAATTAAAAATTTAAAAAAACAGTATACAATAATTGGTATTATAAATAAAAATATAATTACCCGATAAGTACACAATTCGTGAATTACGATACGATTAGCAAAGCTTTCATTCCAGGCCTCGATCTTTAATATTCTGTTTTTTCGGTCTAAAGTATTCTTTTGTATAAAATATACGAAATCGACGCCAGATATCTGTCAATCATTATAATTCATATATTAATATACATAACGTTATCATATAATAGACGGTGTGTTTCCAATAATAAATATGACATTTAAAGCAAAGCATTTGGAACAAAAAAGTGTTCACTCATTACTTATGCAAATAGTAGGCCATTCCCTCTCTTCCCTCCCTTTACTCCCTTTTATACATCATTTACTAAAAATTGACAAAAAATTCAAATAAATGTATATTTTAAAACATAGAATTATGTTTATAAACTTAAAAAATTACCAACATTTTTGTATATTTAAAAAATATAAAAATATGATTATTGACAATTATTGGTTATAACTTATTGTAGTTATATTGTAGTAAATTCTCATAAAGAAATACATGTATATAAATGAATAATTAAGAAATCAATATAACTTTTATGTTAACAACATTTCCTAACTCTTACGTTAAAATTTAATCGATTTATTGTTTCATAATATCAAAGGCATACAAAAACAGTACTGTATTTATATTTAATGATTGAAAATAAGTTCCATTGCATTGCATTAAATACTGTATATATAAAATGCAGTCAAAACGCTAAATCATATTTTTATGAATCCTTGTTTTGAATAATAACTTATTATTGATATATCACTTAAATAACTGGTTTTATCTCACAATACAATTAGTATAATTTTTCCAACAAATACACATTTTTCGTAATTTATAAAACACAATATGTTTTAACTATTTGTTACTAATTGACCTCAAAATATGTTCGTATTATACAAAACATATTAATTAATTACTAAACGTTTTATGACATAAAAAGTAAAATTCATTGAATTTAACTTAAAGTGTAATAACAGATAAAATAATTCCAATAATGATTACACATAATAAATAATCAAAATATAAATTTTTCTAATCAAAACTCAAAGAATTGATTCTTTAAGTGTGTCTCTAATACTAACTGCTGTTCATTCATATCATTAAATATTAATATTTCTACAATTAATTGTTAACAATATTTGATAATAAAAACAAGCGCTTAATCTAATGGAAAGTTATTTAAATAACTTTTCACTCAATTATCTTAAAAATATGATAAACGTATGAATGGCACGAATTCAATGAACTTAAAAGTTTGCAGATTATTAAAGAATCAAATGAAAAGCTCTGCAAAAAATACATATATAAATATTTCATTATGTAATTCCTTATCATAACACGAGTCCAAAAACTATTAGACGATTAAATAAAAGTGAACTTCAATTCAAAACCAAAATAAACAAAGAGTTAAAGAAAGTTGTGATTGCAATGAATGACTAATTGAGAATTAGGCGGAAATAGTTTCACCTTTTTCAATAGATAGGGCGCTTCAACATTGATCCGACACTTGCGCTCAATCACGTGAACCACTCCGTCGTCGGTCTCGGATATGGTGTCGGAGCCGACGAATACCGGAATCATTTCACACGTCGGGAACCGTCTCTCGTATGCCTTCAATATAATTACAATCATTTATATTAATTAAGGTTTCATTAAATACATTAAAAAATGAAATGATTGTGAAATAGTTGAGCGTAACATATGTTATAATAAGGGTTTGAGGGTTTGGGTGATTGGGCTAATTGTAGGCACACTTACAGCCATAACCAATTCAAAGGGGTATTTATATACCCTAACGGGTGACTGATATTTCTGGACCATTATTTTAGCCGCAAATTAGTTGATCTCTCAATCGATTTAATGTCCGTTTGATTGCAAATTGGTTTACAATTTCGTCGCTTATTATAACTTAAATATTATATTATATAATATATTACAACATATATTATATACGATATCTTATATAATGTGAATAAAAAATATATCGATTATGATTTAAAAGCAATGAAACACCAAATCAAAGGCAAAAATGAGGCAATTATTCAATAATTAGTTCACAATTATTGAGAAAATACGAAGTCTTCGCATAAAATATAAATAAAATACAGATTTTTCGTTGAAAACGTATGAATGAGACGACAAACAGATATTAATTAAAAACAATTAATTAGTGAATGAATGAAATGGCACTCAATTTCAGATAGATTTGAATCGATGTACAAATAGTCACACATTTATATAATCATTAATTATATTACAATTATTAGATTTGTCTCAATCCCAACAAATATGCCATTTATTCAATCCATTCAATGAGATTCACTATTATTCACAAACATTATAACTATTATTATTATAACTATTATTATTAAAATGATTATTGAATAAAATCTAGTATTTGTTGTATCGTTAAAAACATGGTTCAATTGAATTGAGATTTGGTTTTTAATAATTTAAATAAATATTCATTAAATATATTTATACTATAAAAAGGTCGACAAAAATATAAATAAATAAAATATAAATATTGTAATTATAATTGAGTTTTAATAATGAAATAAATATCTATTTTTTACATTTGAAACCGTATTTAATAATGAATTGTTTGATTCATTCATTTAAATGCAAAACCAATACAAGTGTTATATTGAGTTGAAATGAATGCAAACTCCGGTCAATACAAACACAACACTAAACAGACTATCGTTTCAATACTTCTTCAATATTACGCTTTAAATGGGAACTCAATTCACACACAAACGGCGTTACGAACCGTCAAAAGGCAACTCATATGCGCCCCCCGTTTGCCCCCAAAGGCTCATAACTTATAGCAGTTTTGTACGGATAGTCTCTCACTATAGCTGTAGTGGCCCTCAAACTCAACTCACGTTTGCGTAACGTATGAATGAATAGATTAAAGAAGTTTACAGTTTATGTCAAATGAAGGCAAAGATTGCATCAATTGTTTGGTAACTCTTATCCAACTTATCACTCAATTCTCACACACTTTTCACTCATAATGACATGCATTTAAGTGTTGTTTTTATCACTCATAATAAGCATTACATCTCCACATCTCTTACCTCTTTCTTTCTTTTATTTGTTTGAAATATTCTAACATTTTGTGTAAAATCATTGATTAATGTTTGCATTTATTTGAATATTTAATATTTAAATTTTTAATTAATAAATTGATACATTTTTCTATAAATAATTATATGGAATAAATTGAATGATTATAGTTATCATAGAATCTATAAATGAATACTTTTTTATTGAGATTTTGATAAAGGAGTCGATATTAAGAAACGAAATAAAATAAGCGATTAAATAATGTTTTCGTGAAGTTTTCTCAAAAATGTTGCAAATTGTCATTTTTAAAAATCTTCATTCTTTATGTAAAAATACTAATTTTGTTACAACTAGCTCATTCATTTTGTTGTTGGGATTTCCAGAATAAAATGAGTTGATAAAAACACTGAGAATTACATACCATTAGGTTTAAGTGTCACAATAGACTCAAACTATATTAGTTTTATTTCCCCCAATTTCCCCGATTTTGGTATATTTTGAGAAATTTCCAGAAAATAAATGCTTTTAAGAAATATGCAAAATATATCATTTTAATTAAAATTCTTAATGAATTATGAAGTGAATTGTACAACATATTACAAATGACCATAATTTGTGCTAACTAGAGCTTCATTTCCGGAATTCCTGACTTACAACTTGTAAGTTAGAATTACCATGGCAGTTTTAGAATTGCCCATTGGTTCCCCATTTTGATTCTTAAGTAACAGATAATCTATTTAAATGTTTACTCAAATAAAAGTGAAATTGGTAATTTTATCGAGCAATTCTTATATTAAGTCAAAACAATTGAATATTCTATTCACAAGTATTTTTTAATCAAAATCCAGAAAATATCGCTTTTTTCTGCTATTGAATCGGCGTTTTGGAAGACATAATATGTTCAATATTTGCTACATTTGTATTAATAACTCAATTAAAATACTATTATAAATATGGGACGAATAAGTGTTCGGGTATTTGGGCACCAATTGAACTCGTATTGAGTTCATCTCAACTCCACATCCCTAACACACCCACGGGTTTGGCATTTATTAAAGTTTTGTTAAACCTGTTCAATTATTATTGCTCATAGTAAATAATAATCACTAAATAATTGACATGGCTAATTTTAAATTCTTTAACTGTAAATTAACCAAGTTAAGTTTAAAAGTTTTAACCTTATTGTATTTTGAATAAAAAAAATAGACATAATTTATGAATTGTTTGGCATTTCATTCATGTTTTGAATTTGAAATCAATAGTAAATAATAAACACATGTTTTAATCATATGTTTTAATGTTAACTCATTTAAAGCCAACTCTAAGACAATTATAATTGTGTTGACATTAAAATGATAATTGAATGCCTATTAAGACATAGTGTAGGGAAACGAGGGATCAGATGTATTCACACGTCTCAACGGTTGGCCAAAGAAGCGCTGAAGAACTCGAAGAATAAGAGCCAGTCGTCGCAGGAATGGCTGAGAAGACAATTGAACGACCCGTACGTCCGTCGGGCGCGGTATGAGAACTATAGGGCCCGCAGTGTCTTCAAGTTGATGGAAATGGACGAGAAGTACGGTTTGCTTAGTCCGGGAATGATTGTCGTGGACTGCGGTGCGGCTCCGGGCGCGTGGACTCAGTATGTCGTACAACGACTCAAACTCGATGCGTCCGAACCCCACACTACCGGCGCTGTCATCGGTGTAGACATACGGCCCATACAACCCATCGCCGGCGCTATTCTCTTGAGTAACACAGACTTTACTAAACCGCTAAATCAGTCAAAAATCTTGCATTCATTGAATGGCAAGTCAGTGGATGTGGTGTTGAGTGATATGGCGCCCAACGCCAGCGGCCAACACGACTTCGACTCGATGGCCATTCACGCCCTGTGCTATAGTGCTCTACAGTTCTCGTTAACAGTGTTGCGGCCCTTTTCGGGCACATTTGTGACCAAAGTATGGGAGGGCCCGACCACTCCCGCACTCAGAAACGATTTAAGTGTATTCTTCTCTGAAGTCAAACACTTGAGACCCGATGCCTGTCGGGGAGACTCAACCGAGTCCTACATATTGTGTCGACATTTCAAAGGCGTTAAACGCTAAATGAAATGCAGTTTACAATTTATATAAATGTTTATTAAATGTAATTAAGGCTTAAATTAATTGTAGATGTATTTACAAATTTGAATAATTGGCACGAATTGAGAGTTAAATACATTCTCTATTATAAACATAAATACATTTTTTTGTTATTAAATCTATGAACTTCTAAATGAAATGATACTAAAACTTTAATTTATAGCAAATGATAGTTTTTTGTCAAAAACAAATGATGACTAAACTTCCCATAAAATCTTATTTTAAAACTTATTAGAAATGTTTCGATAGCTTCGAAGGTCTATACAATGAGATGGAATTATCAGTGGTTCCAGCGGCCAGTTGTGCCTTAAGATAGACATCAATTTTAATGTTAAATAGTTTGGAAAAATATATATAAAAATACACACTTTTATGGGATGGAAAGCAAGACTACATATGGGTCCCAATCTATTACCCATGAATCCATCGTAATATCGTATAGTATTGCCGCACAAGCCGTCAAATGTGTACAAATTAATGGACGGATAGCCGTTCGGCAGGTTTTGATTCCCTAATCCACTGTTAAGCACAAAATAATGTATTAATAAACAATTTATAATGATATGAATGGTATGAGTGATATACCAGGCGAAGACATTGGCTTCCGAGTGGACACTCATTGCTGTCATTCCGAGTCCAGTACTGATAGACTTAATGGGATGCGTGGCGTTCCTCTTGTCGAACCATTTGATATCTCCCGTCAGACTTCCACTGATGATGAGGAAGCGGTCTTCGTGTGGGTATATGTGTGCGTTCACTACCCATCCCTTGTGCTCGTAAAATGTATGAACGCGACTGTCGTGTGGCATAAGTCTGTCGTCAAACACGCGAACACTTCCATCACTACAACCGACACAAATGAGATGGTAGTCATCGATGGAAATGGAAGTGACGCAAGAGTCAGCGCCAGTGTTTAAGTCTCGGATTTTCATCTCTTTGGTCGCATCCCAGAGACGAATCACTCGAGTCTCTCCGGACGCTATGAGTTTGTGTTGCCATTGATTCCACGATAATATGACTCCACTCTTAGATGACGGCTGCATATCATTGAAGATATGGAAAGCCGTCACAAGTTTCGGTTTTTCGGATTTGTCGTTAAGCGTGAAATCCCTCCAAACCCTAACTGATCCGTCGTCGCAACCAGTCATGAGTTGAGTCAAATCGTGAGTATTAATCAATTGAATGTTTGTTATTCTGGACGGCAACGAGTTTTGGTTTGAATGAGTGCCCAATAGTACTGGAGTTATATTATTATTGTTGTTATTATTATAGTTATTATGAAAGTTTTGCTGAGAATCAAAGCTCCAAACACTGAATGATTCTCTTTCGCCGACAATAAGTCTGTTTTCGAAGGGATGGAAAACCAAGTGTTGCGGAGAATTGGCGTTCTTTTGGTGAAATATCTGTTCCCCGATTTGTGAGGGATCGGCGCTCATCAACTCCTTCCTCGCACTTTCTTCCAGCTATCAAAACAGAAATTATAATTCAATTCAATGCAACAAAACTGTTAACAAATATTCATTGAAATCCATTGAAATTTAATGTTTTAATATTACCGATCGGTTTCGACTGGTTTTCCACTCTTTCTCATAATGAGAATGGCTTTCAAAGTCGGTATTCTCACAGTAATTCATATTTGAAGCGTAGGGTTGACTGAAGTGTTTAGTACACCACTCAATAAATGAGGTACTGATGAGAGGTTCGCGCTGACAGTTTGACAACTCGTCAGCGTTTCCGTCTTGGCTTTTGTCAGAAACACTGGGCTCTCGACCAAAGATATGCCGTTTTGTGTTATAATAATGTAATCCCTTATTATGAGGGAAAGGAGAAGTCATATTCGGTTTGTTTAGACTTTCTCTATTGGGTGTCGTTCTTTGAGAGGGATTTCCAGTGTTAGAAGTGGGAGATTCACTCATAAAGGACTGCATATTGTTGGGTGAGTTGGGCTCCGATAAAGACTGTTCCGAATTAGACTCTTTGAGTGAGTCGTAAGCCGTCAACGGCTGATAAGCGCGTGCTTTCATTTCGTCGATCACTGTTCGGGCCATTGACGCCACCTCTGGGAACGGGTCGTTGGCATACGCTGTGATCGTCTTCCATATCGTATTAAACACATTAGGGATCGCAGAGCCAGATATGGCGCCAGAGTTTGTCTGGTAATTGTGTAGTGAATTGGAAGAGTTGACTCTTTTTATGGGAATGTTGTGAACAGCCGAATGGTTGGGTGGAGTAATCGGTTCTCCCGGACCTGTAAATCGTATTTGTGTAACAATTCAAACAATTAATTGTATTCAATGTTAACTCAACACTTGATCGTGAGATTGAGTTTATCATAAATTAGCAAAATATTAGTCAAAACAAACAAAAGTGAAATCACTTCTAACCGAAATGTTGGTGTGAATTAGGAGTTATCGAAATGGGAACCGATAGGAACTTATTAGTTATGGCAGACAAGCGGTCGCGCGACGCAACTTTGCGCAGTCCCTGTGGCGGCGTTCCCACACTTAGATAGTTGTCTTAATTCGGTTAATATAACAATCAATTTGTTAGAAATCATTTTAAAACATTCATTACAAAAAAAAAACAATTAGTCATCAAACAAAATATGTAAACAATCATTGATTACTGTATAAAGAAAACAAAATCTATACCTATGTTAGAGGCAGACATATGCGAGTTTTGAGCCATTTCTCTGTTTTTGTCGTCTAACTTGATTATGATTGACATAAAACAGTTCTCAAAGATTAAGACTAACCAATGAAGTGCTACTAATAGTTCTTTGCGAACCAGTGGTGAGCTATCGTTCAACACTTTATTAATTAAAGTGATAGCAATGCTTTGGTCCAAAGCGTTTGCGTGATCTGTCCGTTCTGTTACACTATTAATAAACGTTCCCAAAGCATAGACGGCCGCAGCCCTCACTTCCGGCACCGGGTCTTCCAGCAGAACAAATAGTTTTTCGTGAGCAGTGTTTCGAGTGCCGATCCAACGGGCGTTCGCATTGTTCTCCCATATATGGCCCAAACATATGGCTAACCATTGGCGCAATAATGGTGTGGAACCGATGGGTGCACTGTAGCCGTCGGAACACTGGGACTGCAACTGTTCCAGACAGTGATCGATTAAGTTTCCATTCGATGGTGTGTTTCCTTGAAGTGCCGCTTCCTATCGACGAGAAATATAATGTCAATTATGACAATATGTATGGTATAAACAATACCTGTCCGGCCAAATGGTTCTTAACAATGCAGGCCATCACAAACGCAGCCATTGTTCTGTGCTCTTCGGGCATGTGTTGATCTGAGAGTACACTCAGGAAATATCTATGACTATTATCTCGGACTAAGTCTGCCTGACATGACTGATCGACAGCCAATACTTTCGCCCAAATAAACACTAAAAGAGGTCTGAGTTCTCGGGCAGAGCTTTGCAATAATTTTAAGACATATGGAAAAATTCCAACAGAAAGCGCCTAAAAGAATAGAAATTTAGATACAAAACAAGTGGTGAAAAAGTGTGATAATTACCAGATGCACAGCCCAGGGACCCAAGTCTAGGAACCGTCCCAAAAGATCCAGAGCCCGAGACCTATGGACTTGACTGAGAAGCACTTGTAGTACAATTGGGAGCTGTTCGGGGTGTCTGTCGGGTCGAGCGCCTAATTTGAGCCACACTTCAAAGGCAGTCAATTGTTCAGAGAAGAATTGGCTGTGTTTGTACTGAGCGTTTTCATTGATAATGGGGTCGAGTTGTGCTAAACACAAATCGACGGCCAAATCCCACGCATTCCACATCGGGTGATGGTATGCGGGCGGGAGTGCCGGGTATGAGATGGGAGTGCAGTCATACGTTCGCATTATTCTCTCGGCCAACAAGAAGTTGCGAAAAAGACTCGCCACTAATAAGTCTTGTCTGAATAGGCGTTGAAACAGATCGCGGGGTAAAGTATTCCACGCGATTGTATCGGTAATTGCAGTGAAAATCCAGTTCAGTTCGCCTAACATTGTTCTCCTGTCCGACAATTGTCCGGGAATTTTGTCCAACAGCTCTAAATTGACGGCCGGAACCAATTTGCCGGCACTTTGTTTGATGAACCATCGAAGCGAGATTTTGATGGGTGTTGTCAGACATGAAGAGAACTGTCCGACAATTGTCCGGGAATTTTGTCCAACAGCTCTAAATTGACGGCCGGAACCAATTTGCCGGCACTTTGTTTGATGAACCATCGAAGCGAGATTTTGATCGGTGTTGTCAGACATGAAGAGAACAGATCCGCCGGTAAGTCGGGATGCATTGGCAACAACTCATTCTTAGCACAAGCGGCCAAAAGAATGCAATTCTTATAGTTTGGTGCCATTTGGTGATGAAATGGCGAACCATTGCTCGACGTATTGGTATTCAAATTCATTTCGTACTCTTTTTCGTGTTGTATCGCAAACTGAGTGAAAGAGTCGACAATAGTTCCGGCGTTAGAGCACTCCAACACATATATTGAGGGCCAACCCATCCATTGCTGCAAATCATAGACAGACAGTGGTATGTATTGCGTGTAACTTCGGTTGAAGACCCAAATCTCTCCATTGACTGTGGGTTTGGGCACTCCGTGTCCGTTATAGTGGAACAAAACGCGTTCGTCTTTAGCGTTGCGGCGCAAAGATGTGCACAACTTCTTCACGTCCTCCACAGTTGGGTCCAAACTTTGCTTATAGCGAGCCCTGGGCTGCCATCGTTCGTATTGCTTCAATAGGTTAGCGCCGATCGCTTCCAACGCCTTCTGCGGGGCCAATGAGAACGGGTCGACCCAACACTGCAGTACTGAACACGGGTTTGGCTTTATTATGTCCGGCGGATCCACTCCAACGTTCAGACACAACACCAGAGCCACACTCACGGTCTTCATCTGTTCAAACATAACAATTCATATCATTAATCAATCATAACATCAAAACAAATCCTATAAAGTGTGCGAAAACGAGAGCAAAGAAATTCATGTCTAATAAATGTGTGAATGATATTTGCAGTGATTAATGGGTGGCATAGAAGTGACGGGTGTGTCGCTGGCATCGACGATGTGTTACATACCCTGTCTTTCATACGCCATGAGTGCGGGGAGTGATTGTCGGGCGAATCCATGCCTTGAATGGCCTCCCGATGTCTGAGTTGATCGAAAGCGTTGGACAACACAATACACTGTCTCTCGTCGTGACTCTCGTCCGAGTGTTGCGATTGTGTGTTGAGATAAGTGTCGAAATGGATTTCTCCGGACATTGTGTTGACGATTGTGTCGATTGTGTCGTCAATTGTGTCGACGATTGGATTCAATAAACAGTGAAATCGCGTTCATATGATATGACTCTTATGTTATGGTCTCTCACTCTCGCTATGCATACAAAGCGTGCGATTGTTTGCAAACTAATGGCACTTAAGGGACCGTATAATCAATGCAAACAAAGTGTGTATACATTGAACATGTATTCAGTAATA